ATTAAATATATATATACTAAATAGAAGGTTAAAAGATGTATAACACAGAATCAATAGTTCTGTATTGTAACACAATGATTAAGGACATTAAAACTAAAACTATTTTCATTACCCAAAAATGTATTTACTAGTAATGATTTCTATTTTCACTCTAATTATAATATTGTTAAGACACAATGATTCTTGAATATTTAAAATGAATGTTAAATCTTCAAGACCATTAACGACAGTCACTTTGAAGGGAAACATTTTTTTAAATATCAAAGGGAATAAAAACACCATTACTATTCATATGGGTCATGGTGCCACGGGATCCCATTAGGCATTTCTGACCCCAACTATAAATATTTATACCTCAACATCAACCAGAATTATACTTTAAAATTGTTCTTCAAAGTCAATTCCTATTCATGCAATATGTATCATTATCTCTATATTGTTACGGATGCTAATCGCACGCGGTTTTTTCAGATTTATTTACATTTGGAGCAGTACGCTTTTGCAGCGGTAACTTTATTGCTTTCGTAAGCAACTGGTTGTGTTTTTAAAAAACATTTATGAAAAGTTTGAGTTTTTTCAACTTTGATTATATGAATTGCAAAGTATAATCAAAACAGAATTTCATAACGTCGTGAATTCATATAATACTGTTTGTAGTAATTGAAGAAGATTACAGTAATTTGAAAAGATTCTCACAATTGTTCTTTGTCAAAGAGATGTCGATCAAGTGAAGTACTCACCAATTCACTTATAATATTTGCTTCAAACGAGATCAATTCAAATTCGAACTTTTTGAAATTAAGAATTGACAAGACTATAATTTGCTGTACTACCTTAATAATGATTATAGGTTTACACATATGGGCACAGAACCATATACATAAAGTATATCAAATTTACCTGTGTTCTGTAATTATTTTATTTAACACTTTCCTTTGATCACGACCAGACAAGAATATGATGTATGTATTAAATGATTACTCATAGAAAATAGTAGATAACGTAGTGATAAAAGAAAGAGTTTTATGAAACCTGTTCCGCTAGAAGTTTGGTATAAAATCAACAAACATTTTGGATAGTTGGAAACTTTTTTCAAACCTATCATTAACGGATTTTGAACAATGCCGATCAGACGTCAAGTTTTAACAGTCACGCTCAAATTGTGCCGAATCCGCTTAAATATCAGAGCTTTGTCAGCGACTTGCAAAAGTAATCCTTCTCGCTTTGTATTGATTTTCAAACGTGGATAAATCGTACAGTTTTTTATTCATTACATAATCTTATTAAGTATGGTTTTAATGGAAATATATCATTTTATACTACGCGATATCCTAAATAGAAAACCCATTTATATTTTAGTGTCATATATCTGATTTCCTCAGCTTTGTCCGCTAACGTATGTCTGAATAAATCGAGAGACTTTTATTCTTTGGTCTTAACATTTTCATATACATACATTACAAACATGTCTTAGTCATTTAGGAGTTCCTATTTAAAAGGGCATAAAAAACAATGTACACTATGCGACGTTTGATATATGTAGTTTTGTTAAAGTCAAACATTTTATGAGTGAGTATTTTACCAAAATTAGATGCGTTCAAATACTAACATTGAAACAAGCATTTTTTTATTTTGTCTGCTGTAAGTATTCAGTATATTGTTTAGTCGATATTTTACTTTTGAATTTTAATTCAAATATTTCAGATTTTATGTCTAATTAATGTATTATATTTTTTTTTATTTTCGTAATACCCATATATGTATTCTTAATAGTGAAATAGATAATTAAAATCTTTAATATTTCTAAGTCTTTTTATATTTTATCGATGACTACAAATATCAAGTATTAATTTTGAAATAAAGACTCCGTTTGAAAAAAAAATCCATATGGACTTAAAAGATTTCCTTATAAAAAAACAAAGTTTTCACTGTAGAAGAAGATGAAAATGTTACACAAAAGAGAAAATATCACATGGGTACAATGAAAAAGTGTACTTTTAAGATATCTTACGAAGAGAGGTCGCGAGTGAAATGAGAAGCCTGGCTGACATACGTGCTTAAAGTTCCGACAACATATAAATACATTATTTTTAAAAACGAAGATTTACAAAATAGGAATTCAATATTATTGTCAATTTTGATTTTATTTGGACAATATTATAATAATTTATATAATATTTTTAAACATTTAATTATACATTATAATAACATATATTTATGCGATATGCCTAAATTAATGATATGTAAGAAAACTTGTGTGTTTTCTCATCCTTGTGTATTATTTTTTGCACACTTACTTATATCTTGTCGTACTTAAGATATTTGAACAAAAATAGTCGTTATTTTCAACAAAATAAGGTTCAAAATTATCTGTTTAGTGTGATCATACGTAGCGCTTGAAGACTTATACCTCACTTTGTAGAGAAATATTATAGCAAATAGGTCGCTCCGAACGATCGCTACTCGACAGAACTAATTGATTATTATATCAATTTAAGTCTAAATGATATATGTCATTATTGTAGACGTCTAATTACAAAAGACGCAATAAAGGTTCTTCAAGAATTGTCCTATTATATCCGTATTTCAATTTCATGGTGGCTATATGGCTTATTTTAAATAATTTGTTTTATTTCTGATACATCTTATATAAAATAAAAGACTTCTATATGTGTTCATAATAGAAACTGATGGAATTAAAACTGATTGATTTAAATACTGATGAATTAAATTTTCCGTCACTATACGGTCCCGCAAATTTCTTAAGAATGAACACAATGTCTTCGATTCACGTGTTTTTGTATTTATTTAAACCTTTTTTATTTATTTTTACCAAAATTTTGACAAAAAATAACAATAAGTAATTAAAATATAATATCAAACTTAAAGTTATTATAAACACTAGGACTTATGAAAATTAATAAATTCTACTAAGAAAAGTACGAAGAAGAAAATGTGATCAATGGTAAAAGATATTTTAAATTCACGTAATTTTTAAACCCGATATCTTAAAAGTTTTAATTTTCCAATAAGTTATCACTTTTAAAACTTTAAATATGATTGTACCGAAGTCTGCAGGGGAATAAAAGTTGAAATAAAATTTGCAAGTCATAACTCTTAAAGGCTTTCAACGCTTAAAATTTTATATAACACATTACCATGTTATAAATTATAGGGATAATTTAAAATATAGTCTCCCTATATACTACAAAATTTTCATAACTATCAATATACTGATAATAATTATCATCATCAGCCTATCAGAGTCCACTACTCAGCAAAGGCCTCTTCTCAGATAGAGAAGATTTGAGCATTAATCACCGCGCTTGCTTAAGACGGGTTAGCGATTTCAAACTTATAAAAAAAAAATTAGAAGTCCAGGTTTTCTCACGATGTTTTCCTTCGCCGTCTTTCAGTGATGTCTAAATACTATTAGAAAGTACATATAAATGACTCGGAAAAAACCACATTGGCTAGGTTTCGAACCCGCGCCCTCATACGTGAGTCAAAAATGAGAGGCGAGCCTTTTAACCACTAGGCCACCATGACCTGACTGATAATATTATGATATAGAAAGAATGAACTAGTACCTATTATGAGATTAAAGTAAAACTAAGGCCTCTATTCTGTTACTATTGTAGTGAGTTCATCATCTACGGCTTCATTTTCACCTACTAACATATAGTTTGACAATCAAGTACTATCCAGTTGAAAAATAAAAAACATACAATAGTAATATTGAGGTAATACCAATTAATAAAACCTATCTTGGATCGTCCTTCACCCTTCATTTAATATCTAAACCATTTATGCATAAAAACCCTTAAATAATTTATTCAGAACATTGAGTTCAATATAAATCATAAAAAGCTGCTATGATGCGGATTGATTCATATATGTGCGGTGAATTGAGCGCTCGATTTACGGTGATTCCTTCAACCAGCTTGAACGCACAGCTGAATCTAAATGACGTTGGCTTATGGTGCGACTTACAGCGTTTATGTACAAGAGATATACAAGATTATTTACTGACAAATAAATCACCTGTTTGATTTTTTGTAAGGTCATTGTTAAATTCCTTTCATTAGTCAAATTACATCGTATACAGTCAAACATTTATCTTTAAAAAGTAACACAAACAAGTTGTATTGAAACAACACTAAAGACTGAATATATAATTGCAGTTATAATTATAAACAAATATATTATATAAAATTGATCGGATTATCTAAATATATTTACTGGCATTTCAAACATATTTTTTACTAATAATAGAAGAGCTTACTTAATTATACTATAAATAAATTTATATGTATATTAAAAACGCTTCCGCTAATATTGTGACTCCACATTAGTTCATTGATATTCGCGATGAGACCACAGAGGGTTCAGATGACCTTTTTATCAGGACCGGGGGTCAAAATTGCTTTTTAAGACTCCACTAAAGTTCAGGTCGGCATAGGCAGCTTCCAAATTGAATGGAATCAATTTATTAATAAAATATATTCCTTTTATTTATATAGTAAGCAATCATTCTGTTTGTTTACCTAGAACATGTAATTTGTAGAAGATTATAATTTTTAATATGAATGTAAGTTACTTTCATCATAATTTCTCTAAAGTGAATTTATTATTTTGAGGGTAGATGAAACATTTTTTTGTATAAATCAAATTAAGGAAAAAATTATAACATTGAATGTTATCTTTACACGTAACATACATTGTTAAAATTTAATTATTAAAAAATATTTATTTATACGATTTTGAGGTGTTTTTCCATAAATTACATACAATTTCTATGAATCACACAAAATTTCTAGAAAATTATAATATAAAAAATTTATAACGAGATTACCTGTAAACGTAGCAACATGTACGGTAATTAGATTCATACATTTGACTAACAAATAAAATAAATTGTAAACATAAATACATTCAAACAAAACTTTATTTTTTATTATCATATTATCTGTGTTCTTTTTATATTTAGTTATAATTAAATGCTTAAAATCATTTCAGATGTCAAGAGCGATGTCAAAGTATTGACCAACAATCAAGATGACAAGTCAAGGGAGGCGTGGATGAGGGCGCCGGCTGGGGCTGTCACTGTGAAGAGTGGTGAAGATGCTCTGCTGACTTGTGTGGTACTCGGAGCTAGGGAAAGACCAGTAATATGGAAGAGAGCGAGAGATCACCAAGTATTGACGGCGGGTAACCTGAGGGTGACTCGTGATGATAGGGTGCAAGTGTTGCATGATGATTGTAAGTAATTTACTTAGTAACCTACTTAGTGATCTAGAAATGATGCCTAGAAATAATGTATATTATGTTACGTATCTTTTTCGTCAGTTTAAAAAAATAAATGTTATAAACATTGAAGATAGATCTCATTATATTAGTGTGACCTTCAAGGATCAAATAAAGCATACGTGTGTGTATGAAAGGATCAAATAAAAAATACGCGTGGGTCTATAACAAAATTAAATCAAAATACTCGCCACAGTTTCGAATAATGTTTTGTTAATGTTTATTTTCCTCAATCAGCACATACTATAGAAGCATAATTATTTATTTATCTCTCTATTACCTATGACGGATTTTAATGCGGTATTTACAGAAAGACAATTAAATATTTCTTGTAAATATTATTTTTCGCATGTTTAAATTACAAATCAAATATTTTTAGTTTAATAAATATTGTGTAATTAATAAGATTAAATTATATAGCTGAAGAGCCCCTCCAAGGCCCAGGCATCACAAAAGGCGGGGACGTGTGGGCGCTCGTCATAAAAACCGTGAAAGCATCAGACGCCGGAATGTACGTGTGTGAATTAAACACAGAACCTCCTGTCAGAAGTTTCCACAAATTGACTGGTAATATTCCCAAAGTTGAGGTTACCCTTTCAGAACTTAACATAAAATGTTTGAACAACTCTTGATTGTTACGCTTGTTGGTGTCGATCACGGTTTTGTTAACGATTGGTTGCTGTCAAAAACATTTTCTCGCCGTAAAGTTAAAGTTTTAAATACCCTTCATATTAATGAAAATGTATCACAATTTACATTAGAATTAACTTTTTAGTACTTTAAATAAAACAGCAACGTTTTAATATTTTACTTTTATTTCAGTTATTTCAAGAGGCCTAACTCCACCAGAGAATCAAAATACCACTGATAGCTACTCCGCTAACGTACCTACACTGTCATCGATAGCATTCTCGCATAATTATACTGATTGTTGTTTATCTGCGAATGTAACAAAAAGCTGTTTGGGCTACTGCAGTATACAGTCTATTCTGGATGGGCCTGGTCAAGATCCAGAAGCTTGTCAAACTGACTTCCCGTCAATAGTAAAGTGAGTTTATTAACCAACAAGATTATATAGGACTACTAAGCCTTATTTACGTGGATATATTAGTAAATGTACACTAAGCTGCACAAATTATAACTCTTTCTTCCCAATATAGGAATAGAACAATAGAATTGAATAATACCCAAACGAAATTTGTTTTGAAATAATATTTACTTACTCACATTTAATTTCGTTGACTATTGAATGCGAAGTTATGTAATGTTTATTCTTTATATTTTCATTATGATAATAAATTGTTTAAATCAAGATCAATAGAAAATTAAATGTACTGAAGTATATATATTCAAATTGCAAACAGGGTCAAAATATTGTTACTATGTTTGTAGATGCATGGCGGATGGCCGTAATCATGTTCCATGCTGTGTCCAAGAGCATATTCCTGATATATGCCAAGACGTATGTAGAGGAGAGTACTCTCCCGTAACTGATAACATTAAAACCCACTACTCTTGCGCAGCTTCAATGGACAAAACTTTAGCTTGCATCGTTGAAGGAATAGGTAAGTAATCTTGTTAAGATTTACATACAAATATTTGTAAGGGCAATAACTTAAGCGTATTTTTGTAGAACTCCTACCAAGTCAACCAGAAGACGTAGAAGTGGAGCCTCTAAATGAAAAACAACTAAACGTCTCATGGAACCCACCAACAGAAAACACAGAATCTGTCACTGAATATATAGTAAATGTGACAACCTTGCGATCCTTTGATGCCCATTTAATAGATCCTTCCGAGAGTTCTCTAAAGAATATAAGCGTCAAAACTAATACACAAAATTTCAAAGTACCATCAAACAAAACTTTTCTAGTTATAAATGACCTACTTCCATTTACAATGTATGAGATTACAGTGACGTCATATAATATACACGGTTCGAGTTTACCTAGCTACGGGATAAGGTAAGAAAATTTAACACGTTTTGATTTGAATATACAGGGTGACTGGTGAATTACTATCAATATTTAAGGAGCATACTCGGTACATGATTCTCATTCGAATTATGTACAAAAAATAGGTACTTAATTTTTGACCAAATTTCCGTATAAATAAATAAAGTGTGTACACGTTCCAAGTGTTCCAAGTGTGAACGCGTGCGGCGGCGTGCTGATACGACAACACGCCGCCGCGCGCGTATGTGTGAGTGTGTGTGTATACCTAATCTGTAGGGTGTTCATACGATGCGTAATTAATTACATAACTTTTGGTTAACTTTACTTACAAGTTTATTAATATTTATGTTATATTAATTTTTATTTTGTCATATATGATCGTCAAATATCACGTACTCAAATATCGATAGTAATTCACCAGTCACCCTGTATAAGTTAAATAAATATATACGAAATACGAAGGGAGAAAAGTAGAAGTTTTGTAAGTGTAAAGTTTGAAAAATGTAATGTTTAAGGTCATTGACCCTTACTCCCGGTAAGATGAGGAACACAGAAGTAGCCGCAGCCCCAAAACTACCCGATGTTAAAGGTTGTTGCGTTAAAGCCGGTATCAATCATTATGGATGCGTGGACAAACTTTGTGACCCAACCAAAACCTTTGAGATTGCGGTAAGTTTAAAATGAATTATGTAGCCAAATGTTTCATATTTTTTTTCGTATTCAAATGATAGCAATCATATCACAAAATAATATAATTTTTAGTTTTTATTCAGTATCATTTTAATATGAAATAATTGGCTACAAATTCATATTTTATGTTGGGTGTATGTGTGTTTGTTTCATTTTCACTATATTTGGTCATTGGAAGCCTTTAAAATAAAATTTATGTATTTATATGTACACTCATGTATCTGTAAAATACCATTAAAATGTTTTCATCATATCAAAATTCATGAGCACAAAGTGACTAATTGCAATTCAAAATTCATTGATCAAAATGCACTCTCAGTTAGGTATCGAGAATTCATGATATAGGTTCCAATGAAACTATTTCTTTGAGCACACAAGCACCTGCAAATTATATAGCATTCGTGACTAACTCACCAATCATCCAGTTCGTCGGTTCTAACCACCAGTTGCAGGTGACAGATCTCATGATCTGCGCTCCATGGGCCGGGATAACATTCGGATGTCTCGCCAATGGCATGGACCATTCCCCTTGTTGTCGAGCTAGAGGATTACCAGACACTTGTCTTCCATTGTGCAGTGGAAACATCACAACGTTGGATTTCAATCACTTTAAGTAAGTAATAGGAAAATTATGAGAAGTTTTATAATTAAATTCATTAACTTGTCTACGTAAGGAATGAAAATTTTCTATTTACACTTATAAATTTATAAAAAGTATGCTACTTCAATTGCTTAGAACAATATTTATCAATCTTATCAATTAACACACATAACAAAATAGGACAATCGCTTTAATCACCAACATTTTTAGCAGTAGGCATTTTTGCGTTTTCCAAATATCATTACATTTCCAAACCGACTTATTGTTATATATGTATAGTCGAGCGTAATCAGTTTTTGGTATCAGAGCCTGTCTAATGCTGCAATAATAAACAGAAACAAAACACTGATTGCAATATTTCTTTCCTTCGACACAGGTGTCTTCGTTACATGACTGCGTACACAAATTGTCTTTTACAAGGCTACGGAGTATTACCAGGTCCTCCATCACGTCTTCACCTGACTAACATTGACACAGACTACGCTGTTGTGCACTGGGCACCGCCTGCAGTACTGGCCGACACTGTTCAGTATTACCACCTGCATTTCAAATCTCTACAGTCTGAAGAAGATTATAGGACATTGGATAAAGTTAGTTTCGCAATAATTATATATTATTCATGTCACACAGTTGTTATTACTATGCCAGAAATGTCACAAAATATATTTTAAATTAGTGCAATTCTTTTGCCTTCTTAAATAGTCCGCATATTTAACACGTTATTTGTTTAATAGGTGCAGTCTCCATACATTCTTGAAAATTTAGAATCAAACACAGATTACGAGATCTATGTAGAAGCAGTGAATGAGCACGGTGTTGGAGAATCATCGCCTCGACTTATATTTAGGACACAGAGTCAGGTAAAAAACATATACGATGGTAATAAATAAATCAACTATTAAAAAGCAATTAAGCATTTATGTACATTAAAAATTGTAATACCCATCGAACATATTATCATAAATATTTCAAAATCAGATGATAGAAGAAGAGGAAGAGAACGCTCTTGCTTACAACGTGACAGCATGTTGTTCGAACGTTGACGTTTCATCTGTGTGCATGCCGCTTTGTGCGTACGACGCACGCATGTCCGATCTGCGCTCACTAGCGCCACTCTGTGATCGGGACTTCCCCAAAATTGTTAGATGTGGGGCTGGTGGTAAGTGCTATGTCTATTACAATTAATAACGCAAATACTACACATATGATTAAATTAGTTACGTGTTTTATATATATTGATTATCAAATTAATATCATGATTTACCATACACATGAACATTGTCATTGTTGAATACAAATAATTCTGTATAATTTTATTTGGTCGAAGGTATTTAAAACGTTATTCCAAACAGGTCGAAATCACGAGAAGTGCTGTGCTAGACGAGGTGTGCCACGTGCCTGCAGCTCTGTGTGCACAGGAGCAGCACAAGTTTCGTTATTTTACTCCTGTGTCGCATACATCGGAAACGTTGTGCAGTGCTTTGAGGAAGGTTAGTAGCACTTCCTTCATCAAAAGTAGTTCTATAGTTGGTTCAAATAAATAACTCCTTCTTTATTGGCTAAGAAAGGGAAAATAAATTCATAGACTATTTAAAGACTATATAAATTCTTACAATTGTTTACCAAAGATTTTGTCTTTAGGTACGGGTACATTACCTGGTCCACCACGTGAAGTACACGCAGTGATATCAAGAGATAAACTATTTTTGGACTGGTCGCCACCAGCTGATGGTGCTAACGCTACTTCATATGTCGTGCATTGGCAGAAAGTCGGGAACAACACCCAGCCTTACTATTACAACACTTTACAATTGGACAACGTATGTATTAAACGTCATATGCTGTACCTATTTTGACATTATTATCCTCAATTGGTAAGAGATTTAATCGGATAAATTCAACAGAAAATTAATGTGACCGAGACCATGGCACGGATCGAAAATTTGGAGGTGAACAGCTCATACCACATGTTTGTGGTGGCAGTCAACGAACATGGAACCTCTCTACCATCTAGCATGCTGCTCATCAATATAACTAATGGTGATGAGATTGTACCTTATTGTAACCTACCAACTTTATCATTTTATTAAGTATTCTTATATTTTCTTACAATAAACAGACGGAGAGAACAAAGAGGTATCCGGTATTCCATCTCCTCCTCACTCACTCTCTGTTACGTCTCACTCAGCCACATGGTTGGCTCTGAGCTGGCAACCGCCACAATTCTCCCTGCCAGATGAAAAAATATCTTATACGTGAGTATACTCGAACTATGTATTAACAAATCTTACTTTCATGTCCTGTATTTTTCGATCTCTTAAATAAGTACAAATAAAATATTATGTTATCACTTATACTATTCCTATTTTAGACTCGTAATAGAAATAATACAATGAGAAGTCTCACAAAATTTTTGTTTATTCATCAATTATTTCTAAATTCTTAGATTGTACGTCAAAACGCCGTCAAACCAGTCCAACACAACTAAGATCACTACATCAGTGACTGGCCATACGCTTGAGAAGTTGTCTCCTAACACCCAGTATGTAGCGTGGGTAGTTGCGACTGCCGGAGCTGGTAGTTCTCCTCCTTCAGAAACTTTATTAGCTTGGACTGACCCAGCGTACCCCGCTTTCGTTGAGGTAATTATGACAATTTACTTTTTTTGTTCTATGCCTATTATATAAAATTGACTGTTCGTATATTCAAATTAAGCCATAAATGTATACTTAAATTTATGAATAACATAATTTTAGTTGAGGAACAATTTGTAAATGAATTAAGGTTCTTAATAAAATTGCAAAAAATTCTACCAATTATTTTTAAATGACTTAAAACTAAGTATCTTGGTACATATTATTGTCTTTTCTAACAGCCTCCAACAATCAACCCAGTTAACCTTGTAGTCGAAGGATCTAGCATGACCATTCTTTGTATTGCCATGGGAACACCAACGCCCACCATATCGTTATACATTTCGGGTAAGTAATTTATTTTACATTATAACTAGGATTATTACTTCATACGGTTGTGGTTCTTCAATAAGTTCAGTTAATAAGAACCTACATTACACATATTCAAACACTAACTTAAGAAATCTATAATCAAATTAGTTTCTATTTTTTTTTCTGCTACTTCAAGATATATCTAGATATTTAGACAATAAACAACAAACGATCAAGAAGCGTTGACATGACATTAAAACCTATTCTCTATTTCATTCAAATTATTTTACTATGTGTATAGTTTTATACTGAACTCCTTATTCTTCACAAGGTCACCTCGTCCGTCAAGAAGTCACCCGCCATATGGTAACAGTCGTCCACAACGTCACCAGAGATATGGAACTGATATCATGTTACGCGGATAACGGGTACGGCACCCCGATGCAGGCGTCTCGGAAAATCAATATATCACGTGAGTCAATTCTTAAAATCGCTTCAAAATCATCATCTATTTCAACTTGACACTTAATATTATGTTTTTCAAGACATAATTCACCTTAATTTTATCTTCGAGTAAGATTAAAATCTGTTAACAACTGTCAGGAAACAAATGCTTTATAAAATTGGATTTAAAATAGAATAAGCACAATAATTAACACAAATGTGTATTCTTCCAGACATACCTACAATCCAAGCGTCAGGTATTACTATGGCTGCGGCGGGTGACTCTGTTATACTAGAATGTCGTGTGGAAGCGCTCCCAAAACCTACTATTGCTTTCTGGAGGGATCCTAATGGAAGAACACCGGTCATTGATGGACCAAATTACACGATACAACTACTTGCGGATCCAGAGGTAAGTTAATCAATAATGATTGAACTTTAATATTACGACGCACATGTTTTATTATTTTTTTAATTTTGTATGACTAACTGTTTTGTAATACTTATATCTATAAATGTAATAAACATGTTTAAGATCGGTCTCTGTACATAGAAGAAAGTGAGTAAAAATATGTAGTATCTTTAAATAGCTTCATGTGACTCTGACATCTGAATGCTTTGAGCTATTGGACAGCTTCATATCAAATATCGTGTATAAAAAATGACAAAGGAAAAAGAAAACAACGGTTTGATACGAAACACCAAATTTAATCTTACATAAACCAGAAGACTTAATATAAAAATGAAACTAATATTTTTGGACTACTACGCGTATTTCATTATTTCGAAAACTCCTGACGTTTCAGTTACTTTAGAGCAACCGTGATCACGTTCAAATGAGATGTGAATATACTCAATACTCGCGAAAGACTTAGATCTCATAAAATAAAAATGTTGCACACAATCCCTAATCCACGCGGACAAAAGACATATTATATTTATATTATTTCGCTTTAAATGTATGATATAATCTGACCTCTAAATGAGATGAACTTCAACAAAAACTACGTGAAAAATGACATCGCAAATTCAGGGACAATACAAACAATACTAGAGCTTACAAAGCGAAATCTTGAGACCAATTGACATTCTATTGTTAGGGCTACTTTTACTTCGCACGCCAGACTCACTTATGTCACATAACGGTCTATTGATAGCTTAGAGGTCAAGTTCTTTGAAAACTTAAACTTGGATACATTGTTAGTATTTCATACAAATATCATCTCAAAATAGATTCTGTCAGCTTTCCAATACAACTTATATTGAAAACAATAGTGTCAATTATATGGATAACTTTGTACAAGCTGTGCATTAGACAAAGCAATGGGAACAATTTCAAAAAAAACTTATAAAATTTATTCATTCAGTTAGACTAAGTACTTTACGAAATAAGAATATGCTAAGAAATGACAACAAAAAATCTTTTTAATAACTATGTAAATCTCTTAACATTTTCCTCGCCTTTTAATATTATGGAAATTTGATTTATCTTTTAGCTCATTTCTATTCATGAATCTTTTAATAATTTTATCTTTTAATCTGGCGGAGTGAAGATGAACACTTTGACTTTATCTGAACACTAATATATTACTTGACTTTATACAAATAAACAATAAAGTTTTTCCATTAAGTAGAAAACAATATAAATAACCGAGTTTTTAAATATTGCAGGAGAAAACAAAATATACGATGCGATTAATAATAAAGAAGATAACGGAAACTGATGAAGGAGATTACTTCTGTCACGCGGAAAATGCATTTGGCAAAACACTACGCCCTGTGTCGGTACGACTAAGAGCAACCGGTCCACATCACAACGTCACTGAATGCTGCACACAGGTAAAGATAACATAGATATATGGACAAACATTAATGGACCTATAAACCTAGATTTTTTCAAAGCATAAGGAGATTATGTCGGAATAATTCTGTAAGTAAACTATGGATAAAAAGTACCATGTTCTATCGAATATGTATATAAAGCAAAATTTTATTATTCGTTGTACATAAAAATATTTTTCAAATTTCGCAATCCAGTAACAGAATAAACAAAATTTCTATCAAACAAATTTGATTCTTTTTTGAATAAGCTACGATACACCCAATTCATTTATTATAATTAAATCTTACTCGATACAAATCCTTGTGACTCCAATCTTGAATTTGGTTTGATTAAGTGACACCAGGGTTTTCTTCAATGGCAAAACATATTTATTATAGAAAATAAAGTTACTTGGAAATCTTATATTTTTATTGCTTCTTATAAAGAGTTATATTTAATAGTAATAAAGATATGTACAAAATGGATTTATAAATAACAATAGTTGAAAATGGATATGAACTTATAATATTGGACTTTAAGTAATTAATGCATGCAATACATAATAAAAATAAGTATTTAATATATGTCACTGAAGCATAAGTGACAATGTGTAAAGAAATAATACATCTTATATACGTTGTTGTGAATATAAATGTAATATTCAAACCCATCACCAGATGAACGTTTCATCGTCATGTATCGACGCGTGCAGTTTTCACTTGGACATGGATAACATCATGGACCGTCCTGAATGCATGAACGATTTTGATAAACTCATGAAATGTGCTGCTGATGGATCAGGTATGATCTTCTTATAATACATGGCAATAACTAGACACACAGTAGATTAATTAAGATGGGTTGTAACAGACTTATTTCTATTTATTTCTTTTTATTTTCATTAATACAAAATATTGAAATTTTATTTGTTGAGTGCCAGCTATTATAATTAAATTATAATTAGTACATACTGACTTTATTATATACTACTTTTTCCTACTTTCTTCGAAACTTACCATATTTTTGTTACTATACAGAAAATGAATGGCAAAAAAAATTAATGACTCTAGTACGTAGTCCGTAGTACAAGAAGTAGACGAGTACCTAGAAGTACACAATATGTACCACGTCTTTCTGGCATTTCCTGTAGTAATACTGAGAAAATGATAATTGAATCTTATTTAATATCTCTACAGATCACCGCAGTTGCTGTGCTTCCTGGGGCGTTCCACGGAACTGCCTGGAACTTTGTCGCGGTGGTTCCTTCTCCAAGATATGCGCTCTTCAACATGCAAGACGGGCCTTGGCTTGCTTTAGAGACTCTGGTGCTAAACTACCAGGTCCACCAAGAAACTTAAAGGCACATGCTGCCCCTACACCAAATACTGTGCTGCTAAGGTTTGTTTGTTTAGCTTCTTCAAAGGAAATTCGTATCTCTTTTGTTTAAAATATTTTTTCTCATAGTAAAAATCATCCTTAAAAATTGATTCCATAATTATATTGAATGTATTGTTTGCTAACTCCAATATTTTTTCCAGCTGGGAGCCGCCCCTAAAGAATCCGCAAACCGTGTATCTTTATCGTGTCTTCTGGCGAGCGTATGGTGCCCAAGCCCCTGAGAAATTAGACACAAGTGAAACCAGCGTAGTACTGACCGGTCTGCAGGATGATGTGCGTTACGAATGTGTGGTGAAAGCTGCCAATGATGCAGGTCAGTTTAACCTATATCTTACATGAATATATAATCTTACCTATATCTCGATCTGAGTACTTCTAAAATAAAAATTAATATACTTTGCTTACTAAATATTTATAAAGAAGTATTTGGATTTGGCACGCTTATATCAATTTACATTTATATATAAGAGCAGTTTTCCGATTATGGAGTATCAAGAAATTTGTCGTAAAGCTACGAGGCATTTCTCTCACTTTCTGTAGTTGAAAATTTTTAAAATCCTTTAATTTTATAGGTACATCATCTCTCAGCCAGTCAATCATGTTTACGACTGCTGGCCAGGAGACGGGGGCGTCAGCTTCTAAAGTGTCGACTTCTGGAACAGCTTCCGCAGTTGGAGTAGCGGTGGCTTGTATTCTAGTCGTTGCCATATTATTAGCCGCTGGACTTTATTACAGACATAGAAAGGTACCTAATAGTAATATGAATAAGTATAATTTTATTCCTTTATAAAGGCTAATAAAACTAAACAACTAATTTGTATTTTTACAGAATCTTAGACTAAAGGCTCAAGGAGGAGTTGCCTTCGAAAACCCAAGCTACCTCAGAGAACCAAATCCTGATAGCGTTGTCAATGTAAGTACTGAAATACTCTTACTTTCATTATAACAACAAAATGATTTGTAGTACCTGCGTCGCAGTATAACACTAACCCAATATTTTAACAGGGTACTATACCTAACGGAATTACCAACGACAATATGAACGTCATTGGCAACGGTATATCAACGAGCACAGCATGGAGACAAGAGACCCAGACGCCTGGTAGTACGATCCCACAGCGGGAGGTGGATCCTTCATTGTATGAAGAACTAAAACTCGGCCACGACGGGGCGGGCTTCAAGAGACTGAAGTAGCCCGCAGCCCGCCGCTCCCCGATGCGCTCACCGCGGCTCTCGTCGCCGCGAGTGGCGCCCGAGAATTGAGCGGCTGGGCCCAAACTGCGGCATATTAGCCCAGGGTACCATACTTTCATAGACTTGTACAGGTTTTCGTGCAAAAGCTGTGGAGTGTTATAAAAACACCAACTTTAGGGTATATCAAAACATTCACCATATATAAAAATATAATTTAAACAATATATCACGTTCAGATTATAAGCATTTTAATATCGAATGGACCCATAGCGACCACCAAATATAGTCTTAATAGACACTTAGAAAAATATGAAACGGTTCACCAGAGTGTAGATTACAAATTATTTTTTCATACTTTATTGTGATTCTAACCAAATATCTGTAAATATACATTTCTTTGTCAATAGTTTTATAATGAGGATCTGTTTAGGTTAAAGTAGTGACAGTTTTATTAGAACTCAATAAAAGATGTGCCTTCGAACAATTATAAAGTAGAATGTATAGTTACCTTTTGCGTGTAACTAATGTAAATAAATACATTCCATAGAATAATATAAATAAATATTATGTAGATATTGAAACAGAATGACGTTGACATCCTTTATATAACAAAGACATTATATACTATTTCTTTTTATAAACATTTGTATATAAACGTTATTTTGTTTCAATTCACTAAGAGAGATTGAAGTAAATTAAAATTTTAAAGACGTTTTGTTCTAAAATATTCACTATGTATGTTCAAGTTAAGATCTCAATTGGTTTGAAAAAAAACTTTATAGCTCCGTTTCTAACCGCAATAAATGAGGTATCGAATGTGGACGAGAGGTAAATGAGCCAATAAAAATATTCCACTTTTATTTTATCAACTTAGTTTCAAAATACATGATATTCCATATAACTAATTCTTGAAATACCCAATAAACTCTGTTTAATTGAATCTAGCCTTATTATGCAATGTATTAAAATTATAATATAAAACTAATCTATTTCATGAATGTAAAAAATGTTAAAATTTTTGCGTTGGCGGAGAATGTGATGTTTAGTTATAAATAGAAAAAACATTTTCTAAAATAATAATATAATTTTAGTTAAAAGACGGATGTGATTAGATTTGTAAATAATATTAATAAAAAAATATTTAAGAAACGTGTACTTACTTCCCTGTGTAATGTGTATGTCGTATTGATTGTGATATATGTGAACATCTATATAAAAACAATTTTTGTCTCATACATAATTTAGTAACTATAATATTAATTTTGAATTAAAAACTTTGTCTTCTTTAATTATTTAGTTCACTTCTATTTGTAACAACGCGTATTACAATTTTATTACAACTTTTAATGTTTTTTTTATAACATAACATTGATATTGACGTCTATACGAAACATATTTAAAATTCATTAAATTTCTTATATATCTATAAGATACATTTTAAAATTCTGTGCTTAATTTGTTTTACGTATATTTTCTTTTTATATGGTGAAATTCATCTTATAGGTGGAAATATTTTTTTCAAAATACATTCTTACGAAATTTAAATAATAAATTCTTTCAGCCATTACTCAGATGAAATATGATTAATTCTTGTGCCTACCAGTTTTATTTATTTAAATTCCAACAGCCTCGACAATAGTTTTACTTAGAGAAATGTATGTAGAAATAAGTGTTTTTTACCGCAGAGTAAAAACACAAAACGTGTATTTAATTTACAATTAAAATAAATGTAATTTAAGAACAAAATAATTTAACTAAAAGTAGATTGCAGTGTGGTGTATATTGTGTAAGTAGACTTGATAACAGATATTAAGCAAACGTAGTCCAAAACGGTTATTGCCCCCGCTGTTATCACTAACGGTTTCTGAGCATTCATAAGTATCAGAAGCACCATTCTCATATTCGACCTGTCAAACTTCTCCCACTGACAGTCATAGACGGAAAATTCGAATTCATTTGACGCATCCAACAACTTCTGTCCCATATAACAGGCCACGTTTAACTGTATAAAACTATATATAAGTTCTATGTAGGTGTCCTCGATCCTTTTGAAGAGTTCAACAACTATGGTTATCATTAAAATTATAAAATCGCATGCCATTGTCACTCTGAACAGTCCTTCGAATGTATTCAGTAAATGTTTATTAACTGTATGAATCTTCACTACGTTCTTAAGTTTGATGTGTATGTATTTCTTAACATTATCATCCTTTGCTATATTATCAAATGAATGTGAACTACTTTCAACTTTTTCGTAATTCTTGATAGCTCCGTCCCAAATTCCTAATATTTCATCAGACAAAGCGTGCATCTGCGCTTCTATATAGCCGGCAATGATTAAAATGAAGGTAAGAAAACAAGTCATCGCGTAAACACCCATAGTAACACTTATTATTATAGTTACCAAAGCAATCTCATAGTTCGGTGTTGCAAACGTCGGCTCGAGACCTGATAAAAATTACATTTATAAAACTTACAGAACATAATGGTGGTTAAACGTTTAGCACCCCATGAAACAAATAGTTTTATCTACAAACAAGATGTATATTATATTGTCTAGAATATTGTTATATAAAAAAGATATGGTTTAAAAATATATATGAATTCCTGGTTTTCTCTAAAGAACACTCAGCTACACTTGAATAAGAGGACTTTTACGTATTTTTGGCCAAAGAAGCCTATTACAGCACTAAAGCTACTTTTATAAAATTTAATGTTTGGTTTGAAAGAAAAACAAACCCATACATACATATAATACAAAGTTTGGCCTTTATATTACTAGGACTAATTTAACTAACTTGCTTCATAGGGTGACAAAAACACAAACATGTAGTGTACTATCATAAAATACCGTAGAGAACATAAGAATTATCTGGTAAATTTCTGCCTGGCTTTATAATTGGGATCGAAACGTATATAAGCAACAGAATCATGATTGTAGACCACACAGATGTCACTCTCCTCTTTATTTTCGTTAAATGTTTGTGCAAGTGAGTGTGGAACGACGTTTCGGGTCTTATACTGGCATCGTATTCCAAATACTCCTGAACGAGGTTTTGCAGTGGTTTCCTAACAAAATTTTAATTTGGAAATTATCAAAACATATACATTATTCATTGTTGTCATAGCAACTAACCTGCAGAAGAGAAAAAACATAATTTTCGTTACAGTTGTCAGACTACTCAGCCAAAGTGAAACAACTACAGTGGCTCTTTCATAATCACGCGTTTCTCTGGTGCGTATGAAAATAAACCATAGCATAGAGAAGACATACACATAAAAATAACAACAGATCGCAAAAGTTACTAAGACGTAGTTAATTAAAGGGATACCTGAAAAATAAATTATCATACTTTAAGAATGACGTGACCGGAATTAAGATCTTTGTCATAAGAAATGTACATGTGAAATTAACTTACGTTTTTTGTTATTTTTATCGATATTGATAGTTACCAGTCGCAATAGGAAGCCTATGGTGTTAAGCATGGTGGGTAGATCGCTTTGTTCCAGATGAAACGTAGGTAAAGAAATCTTCATAATGTCACGAGATTAAAATTATCTTAAAAAAAGTATTGCCCTAGTACTTTCCTAAAAGCTATTTGATAAATCAGTTTCAAGATCTCGTATTGAGACGTTTTTTTTTAAATTACACCAAAATGCAAACGGTTTGGTGTTTAGAAGAATTTATACACTAACCACAGCCTGTATGAGTATTTATAGACGATGAAGTGATGTCAACCAATATTATAGCACATAATAGATTCAATTATATCACTTAACTAATTGACAGAACTAATGTCTCATGTAGGAAAAGTTTATTGGAATAGAATCAAAGAAATGTTATAAAGATTAAAATTTATTCTATTATAGGGAATATCAAAAAATAAATGATCTAGACAACATGAAAACTCAAAAACAGCGTATTTTTTTAAATCAACCATTGCACAAAATAATTAGTACAGAAAATTATTACATCTTTTTTGCTTACAGATTTTAAACAATCTATTTTCTTTTTTGAAAGATACTAATTTAAAAATGACTTTTCAATTGAAGTTTGTGTAAAACAAAATGTATTATCTGAATTATTTTACACCTATATGAAAATATGGTCGATAGACTGAATACAATCGACACTTAATAACTTTATTGAAAGAGGAAATTGAAACACGAAGGACAGAGTATTTATTACAAGTGTATTTAATTGTACAATTACTGAAGATTAGACACATATATATATTATACGTTGCTTTAATAATGAGACTTAGTCTTTTTTAAATACATAACTAAAACTGTTGGTACTATTCTCTTACCAACGTTTATTGCTTTTTTCTTAAATAAACTTATACCTCAAATACTTAGCGTCAATATATTATTGAAATCGCGATAGGAAATGGCAATTATTATACATATGTATATGTATCAGATATTTTGGTTCAGATATTTTGGTTCCATCCAGCATGTTATAATATGTGTTAAGGTAATATTGTGAATTGTGATGTAACCGACTTTGTACTTAATATTTTCTTTAGAATTTCTTTTCTAGCTCTCTTTAGAATTTCTTTTAAAAACGTATAATAAATTTATCTTACTGAAATGCAGTTAGTTACATTCAAAGATTCCTTTTGAGAAATGACTTCATCTCTGTTGTAATTGGGTAAATCTTATGAACTTATAATTAAGTATGTAAATTATTCACCTGACCTGAGAAAATACGCTCTTATTATTATATATCTCCTAGACTTCGTCTGCGTAAAATAAATAAATAAAAAAATAAAAATAAGCGCCGCTTGCTTCCTAAATCCCACTCGCGCGTGATAAAAAGTAGCCTAAGTTACTCCTCATTAGTTACCTGCCAGTGAAAGTCCCGTGACACTCGGTCAAGCCATTTCAAAGATTAGACCGAAAAAACATACAGACAGACAAAAATTGTTTTGGTGTACGTCCAGCATACATATTAACATGCATGTAGTAAAAAACAGTTATTTCAATATTACAAACAGACACTCCAATAAATTTATTTGTGTAGATGTTAAAATTGACAACAAAATATCCATTAGTCACTGATTCTAATCAGGGTTATAACTATTGTCTCTTTTTCAAATAATGCTAAAAAGAAAACAAAATTTATTTATTATTTTAATCAGTCACATAACATAACATAATGAACAAAATTGAGATATTTTAGTATTTGGTTGTTATGTATGTTGTAAACTTCACTAGGATATTCAATAATAATCATTTTATTTGTTTCTCTACAATATTAGTTACTGATTTTAAATAGAAACATGTACTTATAAATCAATGTATGTATGGAATAGAATAGCTATTTATATAACAAACTTGCAATTTATTACTTTTGCGCGGTAGATTTAAGTGTCGTATATGCAGAGTAAGTGGATCGAAGCATTGACATTAAAGAAGGGAAATTGAGAACTGCAATGCCACCAGCTGATAAAGTCATTGTTTTTTGCGAACATTGTAACATAAACAGAACGGTCTTCTGATTGTCCACATTGAAGTTCTCCCATTTGCAATTATATATGGAATTTTCGTATTCTTTACTAGCATCGATGAGCCTCTGTCCTATGTAGCAATCTATAAATAATACACCAAACGTAAACGGCACTTGTATCCAAGTATTATCTAATCCACCGACAAGTTCTGTTACAAGTGCTAGTATAATAAAAATTAAATCAGTGACGAAAATAAAACGAAGTTCGTTTTCTACTTTATTCCGCAGATTTACATTCACTATCTGAAATTTTATGATATCACGGAGGCGTATTTTCAAAAAAATATTTCTCGCTCTACTCTTTATGACTGGGTTATTATATAATTTATAAACGTTGTAATATTTTTCACTATCATCCCAGATATTGAGCATTTCTTTACTGAGAGCAAGCATTTGTGCTTCTAGATATCCAACTATGACAATTATGAATAATGTTATATGAACCGCGGCAGTAACAGAGAATATTACTGCTGACGTCAATAAAACTGATGCTATTTCATAGTTAGGCGATTCTTTCATCGGTTCCAGACCTGAAGTAGAAAATCACATCGATCAGTAAGTATAAAATACAGTTTCCAAGCTGTCCGTGTCCGTAATGGTATCTGTATTTTTAACTTTTTTGAAACATTCAAACCTGATATTAAATCTTTTATATTATGGTATTTAATAACATAAAGTTTCTTTAACCCAAAAAGACAAAAGAAAGATTAATATTTTTGGAATAATTTTAGCTGAGTTTTAACTTCTCATGAAAATCATTAACATATCAGCTACTATGAATTGATTTGTTTTTTTAATTGATTAAAGAATTTCATTGACTCTTTATAAGAATATGTTGCCTTACCGTATAAAACGAATAAATCTTCAGAAAAATGACGACCGGGTCTTAAAAAAGGTACACTTATGTATATTAGACCGTTCAAGGTCAGCACAGTCCAAGCGGTCGTGGCTTGTGTCTTAACAACTTTAAGAACTTTTAGAATATTGGTCTCGAAACGTGTTCCTCTCACCACTAATCCATTACAATGAAGATAATCATCAATCAACTCCATCACAGTTTTACTTGAAACAACAAAATGGAGTTATTGCCGAAATCTTTTATTCTAAACAATAACAAATGATTATTAAAATTATATACCAGAGAAAAGGACACAAGAAGAAATGTAAGAATGTAAGCATAAGCAAAACTAAAAACTCGATTCGCATAAAAATATTTAAAGAAATTGGAGCTTGGCTTTTGTAAATTTTTATTTATTTTATACTACTGAAAACATTTTATTTAATAACTAAATATACCTGTAAAACTTCATATAAAAGAACTTAGGTATTGACGAGACACTGCACATAGTTAAAGAAATCGCAACCATGGCGCTTATGAAGTCTCCTGTCTCCGGACACCGTACCAGCACAAACCAAAGCATTGAAAATACATAAACATAGACATAGCTTACACCAGTAAATATTGTCAAAAGATACAGTATACAGGAAACAGCTAAGAAGAAAGGAAAGTTTTAATGATCAACACACTTTCTTATCAATATATCTTTTAAAATATAAAACACGATTGGCCTTAACAACAATTTTAAAAGTTTTCAGAGACAGATAATATCTAAAATATGAAATAAAACAAGATGCATTTAGAGCCAAAGATTTTGTGTCTTTAAAAGCACTTTAGAGTATGATGCTTCGTTTGTTTCATTAAAAAAACTTACGTCGGGCGTGTCTCCTATTGATATTAATAGTTAATACCTTCAAAATCACTCCAACATTCCAGAATATTGTCGGGAGATCACATCGGTCTAAACCAAACCTCCCAAAAACATTAGCCATCGTTGTATCTTTATATATCTGTAAATATCATATACATATCGCAGGCATCAGCTATGTGTCAACAGTGACATCGTGCAATGAAAAGATACGATCAAACCACAAACTAAACACATACTGAAGCATTATTTATCGACAAACTTACATTGAAAATGTGATGACTATTATAAAAAGTAAGGCACAGCATAAAACATAGAACAGTATACAAATTCAACTTAGTTTCCCTAGATGAAGTTTTTTTTTTTATTTATTGTTTTAATAACAATTATTTAATTTATTTCATTCAAGTTACATAGACTCATTATTACGACTACAGCAATTCACGTAGGCACGGTGCAGTCTACTCTTAATGAAACTTAGTATATTGTCGGTCCTCCCACAAACTCTGCTTCGGCGATATTCTCAGAGAATATCGCCGAATATTGCAAAGAATATTTCCTGTCACAAAGAATATCTCCGATGTGTTACAGGGCCGTGGCAGTCCCACCAGCATCTAGAATGCGTTATTATATTGAACACGGATAACTCAGTACAGTGTCTGTATACACATGGCAAACATGATTGCACATGTCAAATGAGGTATGGTGCGCTCGAAAGAGCGTTATTTTAACGCTCAGTGAGCAAAGTGCAAACCAGCAAGCTAGTATCTTATCTCTCTCTGACTAACTCTCACCACAGTGAAACATGAACTTTACAATTTGATAAGTTCTTTATAAAATAATTTATATTAGGATACGCGTTAAAGTGTCCCCTAACATATAAATGTGTTCCGCATCCCTATTACCTATGATTGCACTCACTGAGCTTAAGACGTCCCTATAACTCGATAAATTAGACACTACATTGGCTTACACTTAACAAAAGAAGAGATTTATTCGCAAGACGTAGTTTTATCACACCTTGGTGACCGGAATTAATTGTGACCACAACCTGGGAGAGCCGCACCTGTACAGCAGGACAACACCACCTTCTTCCCAATATTTCAGCAGACTTGTCTACAGCAGATGTATCCATAGCACTAAATTTTTCACTTATTATGCTCAAATATGACAACTATCAGGGTAAAAGCAAAGTTTACTGGAGTGTAATTGCATTGGACTTTTGGCATAGTTCACGAATACTTTGTACGGGTCGCTTAGCTTTCTTACAATTGAAACTCACAAGTTTATAAAGGTAAATAAATGTATTTTTTTTTTCTCATTATCACATAATTAAATTTAGTTAAATCCTTTAAATAAAGAGTCAAATCTGACACTGCAAAATGAAACTACTAAAAATTTGTGATCGGAATTCAAGTGAATTTAAATTAAGTAATAAACAAGACTAAAAATTTGCGGTATACGGTATCGGTTGCAATAATTGTAGACAATAAAACAATTTAATTCTGTCAACCTCAAATAAGGAAACGTTGCTTAGGATTTTATACAGTAACGTAACTAACTTCATAACCACATGCATTTAATATGTCATTTTATATGTGCCAACCTACAAAGTAAAAATGATAAATGATTTACACGCGATATAAATAAATAAAGAAAGAAATTCAGTTTCTGCTCCTATAAAATAAAAACAGGGATTACTTGGAACGAAATTAAAGTATCTCTACGTTACTATGGTTATATGTGTAATTTTAGACTTGTTACAATCTAACAATATATACAATTTATATATACTTTATTAAATACTTATTATTCTCACTATAACTGAGCTATGAAATGACTTTCCAAAAGATTTTCTGCCAACCCAAGGAAAGGATATAAAAATGAAAAAAACTTTAAGTATTTCTAAGACTTTTATTAAGAATATCTACGGAAAATTTTTGGTGGAACATAAATCTGAATTGGTTCTAATACATCAATTATTTTAATATAATAATTATATGCGTGTACAACCAACAAAATTTTAACATACTATTTAATAAAATACCAATTAGCAATCAGCAGTGTTTAACACACACACACACACACATAACACACACAAAGCTGTACATTTATATAAATTTTACAAATTGTCAAAAGTAGCATTGTTGATAAATTTTAAAAACTTATTTTCAAGTAAATAGTTACCCTGAAGTTTGTAAGGTAGTGTAAGCAGAATACGTAGTCCGAAAAATACACATTAAGCAAGACATATTCAGCACTGCTATACCCCCTGCTGATAAATATAGCGTTTTTTGTGAATTTTTTAACATGAACAAAACTGTTTTCTGATTGCTAACATCGAAATTTTCCCATCTACAACTATAAATTGAACTCTCAAACACATCACTGGCGTCAATCAGCTTTTGTCCAATAAAACAATCTATGAATACAATAGTAATAGTGAAGGGGAACTGTACTATTGTATTTTCAAGTCCACCGACTAGTTCGGTAACGATAGCAAGAATCATGAAAATACAATCCACTACAAAAATAAATCTGAGTTCCTTGTCAACGTTCTGTCTGAGATTAATAGTTACAATATGTAATTTTGCAATATCCTGAAGGCGCATTTTCAAAAAAACGTTTCTAGAAAATCTTTCGTTTCCATTCCCATACCGTTCATAAAATTTTGCACTATCGTCCCACATATTATTCAATTCTTCGCTGAGGGCCAGCAACTGAGCTTCGATACAACCAACAATAACAATTATAAATACTGTTATATGTACCGTAGTCGAAATTGAAAAAAATATTGAAGCTGCTTCAATAGCAAAAGTTATTTCGTAGTTTGGCGTTTCAAACGATGGTTCTAAGCCTGAAATGGTAAAGTTTTATGAAATAAAATATTTTTACATTGTACGAGAACTTGCTCGCTCGTACACTTAATGAAATGATATAAATAGATACTGCTTTGTAAAATGATATATTTGATATAATATATGATTAATTAATTGATGTGAATTCCCGGTATACTGGGTGACCGAATGCCAACTGAATTAAATTATAAGTTATTCATATTTTATAATAGAACGAAAATTATGATGCCTGCATTTAGACGACTTCGTAATTTTGCAATGAAACAAAAATGATGATGCGTATATTTACATGTTTTCGCAATTATGTCGAGCGTAGCTCGTACATACGTTTTCATAAGTAAATTAATATAAGCAAAAGTTTATATTATTTTTACGTTAAATTACTTTTATTACATAACTTACATATACAAACCATAAAAACAAAATCGATTTTCTATGTAATAACGATTGATTTTTAAAATTGTAATTTATTAACATTTAAACTTATTCTGTCTTCTAATAATGATCGATACTAGATCAAATATTGAATATATGTTTAATAATTAACATATTATAAACATTTATGGTATAGAGTGCTTATACTAAGTAACAATTGGAGTTGGTTGTGCATAACCATCTAATGGCGCAACAGCATCAGCGTTTAAGTTTTTAAATACATTGAGCATTTAAAAAAGTAAGATAATTTACATTTTGATATTAGTAAAAAAAGAGAAACTTTATTTTCTACCTTATTAAATTGATGCTACAATAACTTTAGTTAATAATATGATGACACCAGTTATTGTTGTATAAAAAAATTTTTTAGGATGGAATTGAAAATATGAAGATATATGTTATGAAATATAAACAATTTCTGAGTATTTGTCTTATCAACGTTCCTACCTTATATATGTCTACATATATGCTTGAATAGAGTCTACATATATGCTTGAATAGAGTTAAACAGAAAATCTGTTAAGTTGTTCAACTTCATAGTAATATGTATCTAATTAATATTATAAATGGCAAGCTTTCTACGTATGTAAAGTTAAATACCTGTAATTCCAGTACATATACCACTTTGTGGCGACCACAACAAAACAATAGAAAACAAGGTAACACAGTTAAAAATATTTTGTTTTATTACTTTTTGCTTAAAATTTCCTTACCATAAAGCACATATAAATCTTCTGCGAAATGTCGTCCAGGACTTAATAAGGGCGTCAAAAGATATATAACAGCATTAGTAACAAGTACTACCCAGACAGTTATAGCACGTTTTTTAATTATTCTCAAATTTTTAATACGATTCATTGCAAAACGTGTGTCATTTACAAGTAATTTGTCACAAAGTCGATATTCATCAACTAGCTTCATCACAGTGTTTCTGTAGACAGAATATTTGTTATTTATAAGCTTTTCCAATTATTAAAGTACAAAATTTCATAACATAAATTATTATCAAAATACATACGTAAACACTTTCATGTAAAGAAACTTAGCTAAGCAAGTTCCACTGCAAAATGTAAGAGACAATGCCACCATCGCTGTGATGAAGTCTCCGGTTTCGACACATCGTACAAGCACAAACCAAACTAAGTTGACGACATACGCAAAGAAATAACAACTGCTACATATAAAGATGATGAAATACAAAGCCCATGAAATAGCTGAAAGATTTTTGAAATTAAAATTAAATTAGTGGTGAGTAGCGGTCGCATATCGTAAGCAGTAAAAGTTGTATATCATTAAGTATATGTTATAATAGTAAAGTTATCATTCTGTCTTCCTTCATAATTCTAAATACTCTTAAAGTAACATAATTTAACTTTTAAAATTGTCACATAACTTGTTTATCCTTTCTTTAAAGACTTATTATATTTTATTTCAGCATATTTTACATTCTTCATCTCAAATAGTTTAACATAAAAGCGTGTTTTTTTTTTCTCCATCACTTTCTTTTCATATTAAATATTTTTCTGTAGCATACAAACCTATTCTTGACATGACCACTTTTATCAACACCACACAACCTTACACTTTTTCCTCAGTAACTTTTAAAGTAATCTTTGTAATACATAATTATTATTTAATTGACCATATTATAATAAATAATAATTTTAACATTCTTGTTATTTATCATAAGATTAAAAATTACTATCCCTACTAATATTATAAATGCGAAAGTAACTCTGTCTGCCTGTTATGATTTCACGCCTAAACCACTGAATTGTTTTTAATAAAATTTGGTACAGAGATAGAGTTGACCTTGAGAAAGAATATAGGATAATTTTTATCCCAGACTTTTGAAAAGTTCTCTTGGAAACGCGATATAACCAAACTCGACTCGGGCAAAGCCGCGGGCGGATAGCTAGAAGTACATAAACTTTTTAAGGAAACTCTCGTGTTACGGGGTAAAATTGTGAAATTCCTAAGATTTACTTACGTTCAGTATCATTACTATTTATTTTAATAGTGACAACCCTTAAAAGTACACTGACGTTTATCAAAATCGTCGGCAGATCACAGTAATCTAAACCGAGGCTTCTGAAGAATTTCATCTCTGAACGAGTATTATCAGTGGAGATACATTTGAAGTCTTATATAGTCCCTTACGTTTTGCAACAATAAAATATTAATATCCATTTTAAATGCAGAAGCACATGGTTTGTTCACAGTCGCATTATAATTAACGCACATTCTGTTTAATAAAATCTGTTTTTGCCATGCAGTGGCTTTAAGTGACTACGGCGAGCAGACAATTATTTTAATTTTAAATCATTTTTATTAAGATACAAAAAATATGGACAAGGTTAGTTTATTTTATAAAATTCAGAGTAAAATATTAAATCATGAATTTTTTATTATTACAATATTTTAGTGAATGTTAATCGAAACAAATAATTTTTAATCTACTTAAAATAATCTAAGATGACTTTAATGTTGTGTAAGCAGAATAAGTTGTTCTAAGAACGAACATAAAGAATTGTAAATTAAGTACTGCCACACCACCGGCTGACAAACTCAACGTGTTTTGAGAAGTTTGCAGCATACAAAAAACAGTCTTCTGATTTGTTACATCAAAATTTTGCCACTTGCAACTATAGACTGATTTTTCAAAGATCATACTAGCGTCGATAAGTTTCTGCCCGATAAAACATTCTATGAACACAATACCAATAGTGAAAGGGAATTGCACGTATGTATTTTCCAAACCGCCAACAAGTTCAGTTACAAGTGCAAGAATCATAAACGTGCAGTCAACACCAAAAACAAAACGGGTAACCTTATCAACAACACGTCTGAGATGTATATTTACTATGTGAAATCTCACAATATCCCGTAATCGTTGTCTCAAAAATGTGTTCCTAATCAAATATTCGTTTTGGTTCTTATATTGGTTGTAATATTTGTAGCTATCATCCCACATATTGTTAAGTTCTTCACTCAGTGCTAGCAATTGTGCTTCTATACACCCCACGACGACAAATATTAATAATGTTATGTGTACTGTTGTCCAAACAGAGAAATATATAGACGCTGCTTCAATTACGTAAACTATTTCATAATTGGGCGACTCAAACATTGGCTCCAAGCCTGGAATTCAAGCAAAAACAAAATGATGAATAACTTATTAGATCTTATACTTTTATTACTATACAAGTTCCATAATTTTTATTTTAATGAATTAAAACTTATGAACTCATTTTTTACATAAAATACAGACTACATCGGAAAATAAAACAAGTCAAAATAAAACTGAAATCAAACAATTCACTCCAAAAATTTAAATCAAATTATTTATATCTCTTATGGCACTATATATGTATATGCAAGTTTCCTGTACATACAACATTATTATATAATGCAATATAGACGATTTATTTTAGTATTATATTGAATTTTTTTGTGAGTTTGTTTTAACTATCGCTGAGGTCATGTACTGCTAAGTATTTATTTTACTAACCATATATGACGTATAAGTCTGCAGTAAAATGGCGACCGGGTCTCAACAATGGCTCGATAACATATATTATTGCATTAGTTATTAGGATGATCCATACTGTTATAGCACGTCTCTTAACAAGCTTGAGATTTTGAAGACGATTTTTGGCGAAACGAGTACCATTTTCCACTAACGTGTCACTATATAAAAATTCATCAACTAAACTCAGTAACTGGTTTCTGTAAAAAATAAAATACCTATTGGTGAAATCATGTTATTTTATGTCCTTCATCAAATATTTTTTATATTGAGTTCTACTTACTTGCACAACTTCATGTAAAAGAATTTTATAACGCAGGTCGCACTACAAGTTGTAAGAGAAAGTGCTACCATAGCTGTTACGAAATCTTTGGTTTCCACGCATCGTATAAAAACGAACCAAATTGCATTAAATATGTAAGCGGAGGTGTAGCATCCGCAACTTGAGAATATTAAGAAGTAAAATACCCACGAAATAGCTGAAAAAATTCTATAATTATAATTAAGGAGAAAAAACAACCTTTAAAAACGTATTTGTGCGTTGGCCTCCAGATCTCACATATGTATTTATGTAATAGCGAATTTTAAAACGCGTTGTGGCAATAGAGACGGTCCGATATTTACGGCTCCTTGAGAAAACAACATCCCCAAAAACCATGCCTCCAAGGTCAATAAGTACTACTAGCCCACAAATAAACTCACTAAGAATAGGTACGTCTTGGACTTGGACGAAGTAGAAGTGGGAGCGAGGGGTATGGTGGCTAAATCTCTCTAAAACCTACTGCAAGACTTGGACCTATCCAGAACTTATATAAATTTATTCTTTGAAAGTATTCGAAGGCAGCTCTAGTAGGTGTTTTTCTTATTTGGTTAAGAAGGGAGAGGAGCTTGGAAGGTGCAGGCGAGCGTTTAACGCGCGTTAGATAGAGCCCCCTTAAACTGACACCTGGGTCGCAAGGCCCGGGCACTTTTAAAGCTCCTCTCCCAGCAATGCGATAGATCAACTCGCACGGTGAATCCATTGAATACTAATAAGTACCGTCTCGTCTCTTAACAGAAAGAATGTCTGAAAACCATTTAAAAGTTATCAGGATGGCTCTAAACATAAGGAAATAGCTCAACATGGCCAATTAATGATTACCTCTACCTTGTTATCTAATATCACCTACTCATAGACGTCAGCGGTGGGATGAATACAAAACGTTATACCATAAATAATAAAAATATATAGTATTTTTTTATTATAAACCTATTTGAAGTGATTTTATCAACAACAAAAATTAATAAATAAAAACCCAGACAATTTTTCATTCACATCTATTATTTTAAAAAAAATCAACATTGCATGAGTTTTAACTTTGTGTAGAAAAACTATAAAAAAATGGGTTGTATTATAATTATTTACTGGAGGTTACGCTGATTGCAGTAAATTACGTAATCTGCGGGAAAACGATCGCGTTCCAACAAGTTGGACGCCTTTAAGTTTACATTACAATTCAGTTTAGAAACATCCGGTTAAAAATGGTTTACGATTGTAACGACTTCAAATATACTCACTAACTACAGATCATCACTACCTAATTTGTATATATTAATAAAAAGTTTTCAAAATAACCTAGTGCACCATTTGCTAAGCCCAATTTACATAACATCCGACCGCCTTGATCATAAAGTCCACTTCCTAAAAATGTAAGAATGTAAAAATGTGATTTCTTTTTTTACTTAAGAAAACCCTAAATGAACCATTAAAAGTTTTTAACGACGGTGTTTCGCTCTTCAGTCCTCCTGAAACGTATTTACATCCAAACACTTTCGAGTAATGTGGCGTTGAATTGTAGTAATGTATTGTGCCAAAATCACATCATTGAACATGAGTTAATTAATAGCTAGTTAGCTTTAATGTCTTTTTATACACATTATGGTTTGCAAAAAAATATAGAAAAGAAAGCCTATTTATTACTAAAGACTAAATATTAACTAAATTATAAAGACTAAAGTAATTAATTAGTTTTACTCCATAACTTCATGTGAAACGGTTTTTGTATGGGGCCTCGTATGGGGCTTACCCATAGTGCGCCGGGGATTTTAAATGTGTTAGAGTCCCACACACTGCTCTCTACCCCCATGGGGAATGAAGGCTCGATCTAGTTTCTCCCCAATAACAAAACCTAGCTAGATAGGGTGACTATGTTTATCAAATAAGGCACTAGAGTCTTCTCATCATTTTATAGTAAACAGTTATTTCCTTAGAAAACCCAACTAAAGAAAGCGCTTCATTTCAAATGTATAAGCCTTGATAGCGGGAAGACAGTTGATAATCAAAATTTGAAATAATATTCTAACTGAAACCTAGTCACAAATTCATATTATGTTAATTTTAATTTCAGAGTCGAGGAGAGTTTTTTAATGACAACGAAAGTTCGAAGTCTATTTAAGCATCACCTTATTTTGTTAACGTTTAATACAATGAATGCATACCCCCCAGCCAAGAGTGATTATCGAGATGTTATGTGGAGCCTCCTGTAAGCATCTAGACGGCTTGTTATGCCTGTCAATTTAC